TGACATATTATTCTGTACAATCCTGAGGCCTAAAACCACAAGAAGGGCAGCCAAGTAAAAGGACAGAGATGCCCGCCACCGTACCCAATGCATGTGTTTCTGACACGCAAGTCCGTTCATGTCCAAACATTCACATTGCCTTTAGACAAAAATGTTTGTTTGCATGCATTTTCCATTTTTTTCTGTCATGTAAAGTGAAAATAAGAAGCATGTTTAATTTCTTCTGCTGTTTAACATTACAAACAAAAGCCTTTTCTGGGGGAGAGCAACCCAGTTAGCTAAAACCTGCTTATAGAATCAGCTCTGGGTGTTGATTCAGGGGGGAATAAACTCTGTTGGGGTGACACATGGCGCCCCACATAGATGGCCACAATTGATATTATTTTTGGGAAAGAGCTAAAACAAAACTTCGTCATTTAATTTAATAAAGTCAGTATTCCTCAAAGGAAATGGTTCCCAAATGGATCTACCTACACCTAAAGAGCTAAGCAAGGAAAATGATTAGGCCAATATTAAATATTAACACACAGTCATTAGTTACTTGGACAGAGACAGAGCATAAGGCTGATTTGGCCTGCCAAATGACTATGTTAAAAATGAAAGCAAGACACCAGGTCTAAATATATACGGCACTTATTATTATCCTCGTAATCAGGTTCAGGCTGTCATGCAAGTCCTGCTCATTTTTTCTAGGTCTGCATTTATAATTTATGACTTTCAACAATCTAAACAATGAACTGAAATGTAATGCAGCTACTTTGCCTTGAGGAGATATTTGCCAAACTGACTTGTATCAGATAGAGGCTGTAGGACGGCAAGCTTGTGCACTTCTAAAATTCAGAACTGAAGTGAGAATGACTTTTACATTACAGTTCAATTTCTGAATTCTAAAATTCATGTTCAACTCAAATTTTTCACTAAAAACAAACTTTGTCAAGTATAACTTTCAGTTGTAGCTTGACAGGTTTAAAAAGCTCTGAAATGTATAGGTTTATCTGCCTTGCAGACAGGGACAATGAATTAAAGAAACTATTAAAAAATATATATTTTATACACTATCAGTGAAAGGTTTAGGATCAGCAAGATTTTTTTTTTAAAGAAATGAATGCTTTTATTCATCAAGCATGGATTAAATCGAATAAAAGTGACAGTAGTGTTACAAAAAAATTATATTTCAATTAAATGCTGTTCTTTTGAACTTTTTACACATTAAAATAATCTTGAATAAATAAATAAAGAACCATAAACCCTGAACTCTAGCATATGTTCACCAATTAATAAATTAACTTTCATGGACCAGGGTGGAAGAATATAGAAGGCTGCAAGATTCTTATTAATTAATAAATCTTTCATTTGACATTGGTGCATTTATTTTTACATATGTATTTATTAATGCTTTTAATGAAAGATTTATTTATTAGTTTTATTTTTAACACAGCCAAATTATTGAATTTTGTCCAACCCTGCAGGACAGTGTGAGGTTAGGGGTCTAATATAGAGTAATATGAAGCGTATGAATTACTTTCACTTTTATATCATAATCATCCATCTAAAAACATCTTGCACGAAAGGGATGGAGCATTAAGAGAAACCAGAGAGAAAAAACAAAGCACTCGCTCATATTTTACCCCATAATCTCTACCTCCCCCAACAGTTGTACCATTTCCAAGTGGCAATAAAACCCACCAGCATCACTCAATGTAATCCCAACAGAGGGATCCATAACAGCCCCACGCACCCTGATGTCAGTAAATGTACAACAGTGCTCTCTTTGGCATCGCCTGCCAGGTTGTATGAGGTCATTTAGTGCAAGTTGAGTAGATGTACCTCACTGACAAATTTCTTTTCTGCATTCCTCTTCTTTCTTTTGTCTCTCTGTGCTTCCCTTGCTCTTTTTCTCTTTTGCTGACTTACTCATTCATCTTCTGCCTTTTGAAGAGTGTATCCTCTTCAGCTTCAGAGTTGGTCTAACTCGGGTGACTCCTGTGGCTGTGAATAGATAGTGTTGTGTTGCTAGGAGACGACTGAGATCAGTTAATCTGTGGATAGAGTGTACAGCGTTTGCCCTACCTGCCCGCTCTGTAGCTCACATCCTGGGGGATGAACCATGAACTCCTGATGACCCCATATATGCATATCAGAAAAAAAACATGCTGTCTTCTCCCTGTACAGTGATAGACACCCTGACAATTGCAGATGCATAGCTGTTCCTTATTGGCTATACTGCACTGCAAACAAATAATTTTCCTCAGTATTTTTGTCTTGTTTTCCAGTACAAATATCTTAACATTCTTAAGTCAAGACACATTTACTTGAGAGAAAAAAAAAAGGTTTAACATATAGTCTTGTTTCTGGAGAAAGTATCAAAATGAAGTTAGTTTAAGTTTAAACAAGTAAAAAATCGGGTAGGAAAAATGAACTTAATTTCTAAGGAATTGCCATTGGGAGATATCTTGTTTTAAGATAAACTCACAAAATGTTGGTAATTTTTTATAGAAAACAACAAGAAAACAAAAGATTATATTAGACCCCCCCCCCCCTCCCCTTACATATTGATTACTCTTAATATTTTCAGTGTTTATTCTTCTCATACTGTGTCATATACATACATAGTTTTAGACATTAAACGAATATCTGGATTTCATACTATACATTATGATGTTATGTTATGCCTAAATTCACTTTTTTTTAACAATTGATTGTTTATTTAATAACTTATTTGCAATGATAGTTTTTAGTGTTTTATTTTTTATTTATACAAATTGCATAGAATTTAAGCTAAAACTTTTCAATAAGGTTTCATTTGTTAACGTTAAATACATTAGTTACCTTAAACAATACTTTATAGCATTCATTAATCTAATGTTAATCTCAACATTTATTAATACATTTGTAAGATCAAACTTGTATCTGTTAACATTAGTTAATGCTCTATGAACTAACATGAACATTTTTGTTAATTGACATCAACAAAGGTTAAAAAATTAGCAATGTTAATAAATGAGACCTTGTTATAAAGTGCTACTGATTATTAATAATAGCTATTAGAGATTCAGATTTTGGCAAAAAAAAAAAAGTCAATATGTGTCCTTGTTGATGACAAACTCTTCACGTACAGTAGTGCAAGCAGTGGTTCTTGATACTGTTCTCAATGCCACTCTTCTGTATTGGTTGCGTTTGTGTTGGATGCTGCTTCTTCTTACTAATGCCACCTAATCTAACTAAAGCCCTGTAATCCACTTAAAATGATGTTATGAGGGAGCTGCTGGATCCGTGAGGATGCTTTTATGAGAATGAGTTTCTGTCTTCATGTACTGCTGCGACCTGTGCGTCTCACATTGAGGAAACAAAAACACATCAGAAGGTGACTGCAAAACACTTCACAGTAAATAAATAAATAAATGGTGCGTTTGATAGATACATTAATTTAATTGAAAGTCATATCTCCTGTAGGGTCTTCTTATAAATATTATCTATCTGTTAGATGTCCTTAAAGTATAATGTGTAATTTGTAATATGTCCTACAGATTCATTATGTGGTCGCTCCATATCTCCTCCTTTGGTTTACAGTAAATACACCTCCTCACATATTCAAAGTGCTAATACATGCACACACACACACACACACACACACACACACACACACACACACACACACACACACACACACACACACACACACACAATCTCACAGTTCTTCAAATACGCCCTAGTGTAAATCCTCATATTTGCTGAGATCAGAGTTAGCTGCTTATTTGCTCAGTAAATGCAGCGCTCCGGTGAGCTCACCTCCCCTCAGCTGCACCCAGACAGCGAACACTGCATATCTTTTCATAACATAGAAATCATAACCTTGGGGAGCAATCTAACCTGCAAAAAAAGTTATTAAAAATCTATTTATATTGTCAGGGAAGATTTCTTTCCTCTTTGCCATTTGATAATAGACACCTTTTTAAGAACTGAGATATTTGCTTTAGAGTGTCAATCTTTAAAAGTTTTTAAAAAATCTATCTAAATGTAATTATCTATTTATCTATCTATCTATCTATCTATCTATCTATCTATCTATCTATCTATCTATCTATCTATCTATCTATCTATCTATCTATATATCTATCTATCAAATACAAATTCAAATGCCTGACCATCCATCCATCCATCCATCCATAATTTATGTTTTGACAAGGTTGTCTCAAATTTATGAACAAACGTTGCTATGTTAATAGAATGTTCATTCTGAGTTATATGGTCTTCACATATGTTCTCAAAACGTCAGCACAAAAAGTTTATACATTAATTATTATATGCCTTTTATTTCTGAAACTTTTTAGTCGGACACTCGTCGTTTTTTTTTTTAATGTTACTACTCTCAGTAACATAACGTTCCCATAATTTAACATTGTTTGCAGTGTGTGTGTGTGTGTGTTCCTGTCTGTCTCACTGACTGTCTGTCCATCTGTCAATCTGTTAGCAGTTAGCAATAAGTGAGCCTGAGGCTGTACATACAATAAGATGCAAAATGTGCATTTTATTTTTATTGTTTTAATGTGTCCATTTTACTGAAACCTACAATAGGCTGCTCAATAGGTTGACTATCATTATCACAAAATCTCAACTTGTTTTCAGTAAAGATTATCTTTATTTTTTTTGAGGCAATAATAGCAGGTCTTTTATTTTTTATTTTGAACTAAAACTGTATTTGAAGAGTTTAGATGCAAAAGCCTCTTAAGAACCGATTCATTGCCATAAAAGTGAAATGACTGAACCTACACACAGGAGCTTGGGGAAAATGCTCATTTTAGAAGAAAATGTCAAACGGCACTTGGAGGCTTTAATTTGTATTCCTATAAAAATGGAATTTAAAAAATAAATATACCTTGAGAAATCTAAAATTGCATAAGAAGTCCACAAAAATGTTTCCTCTGAAATGTATTGTTGTTGCTATCTATCCATCCATCCATCCATCCATCCATCCATCCATCCATCCATCTATCTATCTATCTATCTATCCTGATGCAACTCCAACTTTCTTGTCATTCAAAGCTATGAGCTCGTGATGCCTAGCAGCGCGTATCTATACTGTGCGGCACGAGCTCCTTGTATGGAGCGACACGCGTGAGGAAGATCGCGCGCAGATGGGTGGGGGCCTGATCCGCAACAGCGCGCACAGTCTAAAACAGACTCTTAACGTACTGCCAAACCGGAGGGACACGGGAACGCCCCGCACCCGACTCCCCCTGCCAGTCTCCACATCTCTGGGGAAACATCTGAACTAATTACAGGGCAAAGGCTGAAGTAGCTGGAGGGACCAAAAGCATCTGAGATTTGTTTGTGGAAGTATAGCTGCGCTCATGGCGGCAGCTCGGCTGCTTTAGGAGGGTCACTTCGGTCAGTGGATTTTAGAGGGAGAAACTTGTCTGTTGGATGTCAGTCAGAAGAATAATGGATGCGCTCAGATTGTCCGCTGCTATTCTTCTACTTCTGTCTTTATTCAGCTGTGGAAGCGCTATACAGTTTCCCGACTCCCATCTGTAAGTAGGCAGCGCAAAACTTGCCTTTATTGTTATGATTTCTGAGTTGATTCACTTCTTACTATCAACATTTGTGTTGGCTATAATTGCAAAAGACTTTTACGTTTTTATATTCCAAGAGCGGAAGATAGACTGGTACTCTTCAAGCCAGAAGTTGCGTCTTACTGGACGCGTTTACACAGTTGCACGTTCCGTCTTCGCTATTTTGGGCACAGTTGTTGGTAGATACACGCGCGTCAGACGGACGTCTTTGGCTGTTGCGTCGCGTTTCAGTGGCGGTGTTTTAAGTTACAGTTTTTATCAATCGATTTGACACTTTTCTCCAATGCAGTGTACTTGTTCTCAAAACAATTAGCACAGTCATCCAAACACAAAAATATCTTAACCAAACAGTTCAACTTCACTGCAAAATGAAGCACTGCAATTTGTTCTAGTAATGCATTAATTAAAAGTAAACAGAGGCGGACAGTAACTTAAGTACATTTACTTGAGTATTGTACTTAAGTACACTTTTTGAGTATCTGTACTTTACTTGAGTATTATTTTTTCTGGGAACTTATGACTTTAACTTCACTACATTTGAAAGACAAATATTGTACTTTTCACTCCACTACATTTCTATCAAGGTCCTCGAAGTAGAAAGTTGTTACTATGTAGCAGCTTTGAAAGTCAGTGGGTGATTTTCTTTTTCTTCTCTAAAACGTGGCTTTCTTTTTTTCAGACAGTTTATCAGTAATCACTCTTGTAGGGCTACATGAAGTGATTTCCTAGCATTTTTTGAACACTGACCAGCTGCAAATGTGATATTTATTTACAACATTTCAATAAGAAGTAGTTAATATTGCGGTGTATATTAGATGCAATATTGTCTGATTTTGCTAAATTGTGTAAGTGAAAATATTACCTATAAAGCCACAGAAGAACTGTTGTGCATCTCCTAATAAAACACAAAAGGTGTTTGACTGAAGCAGCACTGCACAGACTGGTCTGTGTGTAACACCAAAGTACAGCGAGAGCGATTAGACAGCATTTTTAAAATATTTGTTTTGATGTCAAATAAGCCTTGCTGTTTTGCTTTTTTGTTAAAGCAGTGTTGCTGTTGTAAAGTTATACAGCTACAGTTGTGTTGCTGGGTTTTAAAGCAGGTTTGATGACCTCGTCGCTCTGTATTTACAGGATTTCACTGTACTGTATTCAGTAGGTGTAATGTATTCTAAGTTGCTTCAGAAGTATTGCAAGTACTACGTACAACAATAAAACAG